AAAGTGGCAACAAAGCCACAAGGTCGGCTTCCACCAGGGCCAGCCCAGCCCAGGTTAGTTCATAATATATTTTTCACGCACGTGACCTTACACAGGAGGGGACTTTCCCTTGTGACGCTGTCATGTCAAATGAGCAGCACGGAACACATATGCTACGTGTTCGCAGGAAGAAGAGGTTCTCGAGGGTTGGGGAGGCCACCGGTCACGTAATTATCCAAGTTTAAGTCCCCATGCTCTCTGTTTTTAAATCCCCACCCAAGGATATTTTTCTATTTATCTTCAAATAGAGGGGGCTCGGGGGAGAAACACATTGACTGGCTGCCTCCGGCATGACCCCAACCAGGGCCGGGGGCCAACCGCAACCAAGGTCCGTGCCCTTGACCAGAATCGAACTCACGACTCACTGGTCTGTGGGCCGACACTCTAACTGCTGGGCCAAACTGGCCAGGGCCACATTCTCATTTTTACGTCCATCATTTTGGAAAATTTTTTACAGTAGTGGGTGAGTTTTCAGGGGCCCGACAGGATGCAACGCAAAGCACAGGTTTGGAGGCTGTGTCTCGGGAATTCAGCCCAGGACGACATCTTACAGAATGGGGCGTAGGCACCCCCTGACGCCCCCAGCCACAGTGTCCCCCCCTGCAAAGTGGTAGAGTAACACACCCTCCTTTATAGCATTGTTCTGAAAATTAAAACATTGTTTTAAAAATACTTGGGTTGGTATAGAGAGAGGCTTGCTTTTTATTTTAATTCTGCATCTGTAGCCACTCACACAGCCAATTTACACCTCATGAAACTCGTTACATTTCTTCCCGAGTAGACAAAGATCAGTAGGCCTCACAGACTAACTATAAAATTCTATTTTTGCATGTCTTATTTCGTTTCTGATGATCATCTCGGTTCATTTCTTATTTTATATAATTGTTGGCTTCTGTAACGTGGATCCAGGAGGAGTCCAGTAGTGATGTGTAGATGGCCCAATGAGATTACTGGATTCTCTTCTGAGTGATTGCATTCTCTAGTGATTAAACTTTAATTCTGGAAGAAAATATCTTTCTTATATATTCCAGACCAAAAAAAAAAGGGGGGGCAATTATTATTTTGGGGTGACAGCTGAGCTGTGAAACTGCAGGAAGCTTCAGAAGCACAGACAGTGGGCGGCAGTCACTGTGGTTACCAGCAGGCCTTTGTAGGAGAAGCTGTCCATCATGGCAGCGGCCCGAGACCTCATTGGAGCCAGTGGTTCCGTGTGCGGTGGAGAGCAAAGGAGAAAGGGACCAGGCCCTGTGTTACAGAGTTTCCCCTTTCTCTCTTTCTTCTCCGGAATGCTACCGTGAGCCACGGCCTGAGCCACGGCCTGGGCCACGGCCTGGGCCACAGCCTGGACCACGGCCTGGGCCACAGCCTGAGCCACGGCCTAGTCCACAGCCTGGGCCACGGCCTGGGCCACGGCCTGAGCCACGGCCTGGCCCATGGCCTGGGCCACGCCCTGTGCTGCTGCCCCCAGCTGTCAGACTGCATGGGGTGTCCCTGGCTCCCCGTTTTCACTCCATGATGGACTCCTTGCCCTGAAAACTGGAGTTCTGTGATCTCAGGTTGGAACTGAATGAGATTCGATTTCCAGAAGGGCCTGAGTTTGGACTACGGCTCGTCTTCAGCTTTTCTAGATGGATTCAGACCTCTGGACGTTAACCACTTAGGGTCACAAGGGTGTGTCACAGGAGACATTCAATAGGTACATTGCTGACTTTTGACGACACGTGAAGAGAGAAGTGGGTTATGGTTACAGCCCTGTCGACACAGCCCACTCCTGGCCCAGGAGACCCGAGAAACACGCCTTCGAAAGGAGAGCAGGTTCTGGAAAGAAGAAGAATTGTGAGCCATAGGAAAATAGATAAAAGGGTCCTTTAAGTTGTGAGCACTTTCTGGGTGGCTTTTTCATTTTTGCAGCCTGCTTGGGGGTGGGTGTTGAGGGCACGCCAGGCCTGGACTGGGGCCTGACGGTCAGTCACTAGGGAACAAGTTCAGAGCCTCGGGTCTCCTGTCTGGGTGCCAGTGACGTTGAGCACATCTGGCCGGCGAAGTCAGCTGGACGAGTGGGTGTGCGTCCGGCCCTGCAGTGGACTCAGAGCCTTGCTACTGCTGCTACAGTTCGGCTTCCCTTCAAGTCTTCGTTCCAGGCCCCCGATGGAACACGGACTCGGGCTGCTGTAGGGCCGGAGCCAGAACCCCGACCCGCGGGTGTGCGCATTGGAACCTTCCCCCTTCCCCGGGAGTCCCGCTTGCGCCCGGGTACGTCCCGCAGCACGGTGCACGCAGCACACATTTGTCACGGGCCGCAGGGGCCCACGCCCCGAGCCCCCCCCCCCGAGGCCCCTCCCGGTGTAAACATGAAAGATGCTCACGCAGCTGTGGCCTTACCCTGCGCCCGGCGCTGCACATCTGGCGGAAGCGGGTCGGGAGCGCAGCACGGACGGTCTGGCTGTGCGGAAGGACAGCGTGGTTACAGCAGTGCGACAACCCACCGCGCGGGCCCACGGGCTGTGCGTGCGCCCCGCCCGGAGCCCTTCCGGCCCCGGCTGGCACCCCGCTCCTCCCTGCTGCCCCCTCCGTGCTGTGGCCATCACCCCACCCCTCCTAAATCCACTCTGTGCGAGGCCAGAACGGATGCTTTGGGGTGGTGGCATTTTTTCCCCCCGAAACAGATGTGTTCTGGATATCTGCAGAAGTATAAACACTTTTGTGAAACTTACCAAAGCCCATAAATAAAACACAGCCATTTACTATCAACAGACACTCTTTGAGACCCTCGCCCAGGAGGCGGGGGGGGGGTGTGTTCGTGTTTCCTGGAGGCTCAAGGGAGAAGTCGGAGCCATGAAGAGGGGCCCTAGCTCGTTCAGAGGCTCGGGGGGTGAATGGGGCCCAGTCGGTCCCTCTGCATGGTCCCTGCCCTGCAGCACCCAGTCCCTGCCCTGCCCAGGTAGGTGAGGCTAGAGAAGCCATGAGGGTACATTTTTCCCTCGGGATTGTCTCCTGGGTTCACGCCAGCCAAGGGCAGCTAGACGCTGAGCACCAGGGAACACGCCAAACAAACTGCAGGGCATAAATCGGAGGCAGCGGGCCCCAAGTTCAGGCTGCGGTTCCAAGGCCTGCACCTTTGTGCTCAGCCCCTGGGAACACAGCGATGTGGGCTCTGCCTGCCCACTGGGTTCTCTGTCTTTCTGCTCCCGACGCGCACCCTGCCTCCCTGAGGGACAAAGTGTACAACTTTTCTTCTCTTATTCCGTTACCTCTCAACAATAACCCGGGAGGCTTTCTCTAACGAGGAGCCAGCGGAGAGCACCGGCAGGGCCGCCAGAACAGGGGGAGCACCTACAAGCTCAGCCCCCCAACAAGGCTCCAGAAGCCAGGCTCCGTACAGCCTGACCCCACTGTGCCCCCGCGCAGACACCTCGGCTCCTGGCTCCCTTCGCTGCACACAGAGCTGACGAGGAAATGAGATCACCTCTGCTTTTTATCTCCTCGTTTATTTTTAGATGTCTCCACTAACACATCCGGTAAGTGACGTGACCCCCACTTTATACCCCAGGAGAGCTGCCAAAAGAAGGTGGATATGCTGGGATCTTACACACTATTGTATGTGCTTTCGTTTGGGCTTAGAAACAAGCAGGAAATACTCTCTTCAAATTAATTCTGGGAGTTTTTGTACATTCTATTTACTTAAGTATTTCTTGAAAATGTAGGCCATTATGCATGGCCTGGAATCTTTTGTCAAATGCAGACCTTGGTTGGGTAATAATTCCATGTGACTTGACCGTCTTGCCTCTTGTAACTGATAGACAGCGTGTGATGAGTTATTACGGCAGGCGAATTTTTACCTTCCTTACATAAAGGAAGATTTGAAGAAAATAGTCACTTTTACTTCTAGATAAAGTTGGATGACTTATTGGTTTTATAGTTAACCTATAGTTAACCAGAATATTTTTCCAATTCCCCAACCTGTAGGATCTAACTTCCAAGTAAATGCGTCTCTCTTTATAGTTTCCATAATATTAATTCACTCCTACGGTCTATAAAAAAATAGTTACGGAATCACAGCTGCATTTGGAGATTCCCAGAAATGTTTCTGTAAAGACTGAAAAGTAAGCAAACGCGTCAAGGAAACCAGAGAAGGGGGCGGCGGCAGGCAGAGCGGAGATTCTGCAACAAGAAGAGCTGTTCTCCGCTCCGGGCTGTGTCCCACTCCGGGCCCAGCGGGGTGCTCATTACATCCTGACGCCCTGTGCCACCCACAGGCATGAGCCTTCCTTGGGAAAAGGACTGGAGTCACCTTCAAATACAGACGTTTGGGACCGGGAAGGTCACGTTCTCTGTAGATGCTCTGCTGGGAAAACCCACTGAAAATCTCACATTCTTTGCGAAATCAGTTTATAAAAACAAAGGGACGGGGGCGTTGTCTGACTGACCACACGCAAAACAGAAAAATGCATGTTTTTCCTTCCTGTAGGGAGATTCTGTCGTTGTGAGCAGAATGGAGGGTCGTGGGGGAGGGTGACGGCACTATGCTGCTGACAAGGTGGGAAGGGTGCTTGGGGCCGGCTTGTTCGGGCTGACTGTTCAAATCAATTCCACTCAAAATTAATTGCCTGCGTAGACACCACCGTGGAGAGCAACTTAAGTGGGTCACTTTTCCTTGGATCCTTTAGAAACCTCCTTTCAATTGGAAAATGTCAAGAACTGTTTTGCCCAGATGGAGCGACACCCACAGCAGTTCAACGTAAGTTTATCATGGGAAAAGGCACCTCTCCTACTGACTTTGCTGTATCCACTTTGCTGTTCTCGATACGTGAAAAGGTCCTCTTGGTAGAGTCAGTATGTCACTGAAAACGACCCGTAGTAAAAAGCTATGTGTTTGTTCAAGGGAGTGTAGCTCAATCTGATACCTGGCAGCTAATATTCGCTTCTGTGTGTCTGGTGAGCACAGTGTCATGAAGTGGACGCTAGTGTACGTGGACCGTGTCACTCTGTAAACGAGGACCTGTGGTGATGTGAATACTGTCTGCGCCACAGGTCCAGAGCCAGCTGCACCAGCACAGACCCCGAAGGAAGCGTCCTGGTTGGCACGACAGTTCTCACTTACCGGGTGCTGCTGCGGACTCTGCTCAGCCCCGGGGCCGGTAGGTGCGCAGGGATCCCGCAGGTGGGAACCCAAGCTGCAGCGACAGGTGGGGAGGTGCATCTGAGGAGACAAGGCTGTGGGTCACCGGGAGGGGGTGCAGCTGGGGACTCACACCGACATTTGCTTCATGCAACCACATGGTTTGGTTTCGGTCTTTTAAAAATTGTAATTGATTTCAGAGAGGGAGGGAAAGCAGGGAGAGAGAGAGAAACGTCGATGTGAGAGAACATCGATTGGTTGCCTCCTGCATGAGCTCAGACCCGGAATCGAACCCACAACCCTCCGGTGCACAGGACGATGCTCCAGCCAACTGAGCCACGCGGGCCAGGGCTGGTTTCAGTCTTAAGGCTTAGCCTCACCCTGGCATCACCCCCGCTCAGAATAGTAGACACGTCAGTGTGGACCCCGGAATAACAGATGCGCCACAGACTGAATTTCCTGAAGGCAGAACTGCAGTCATTACCCCAAGTCTGAAGAAATTGGAAAGACCTGAAAGGTGTGTAGAGCTGACTGAGTTGTCTCCACAGAGGGTCCTCACCATGGAACTACAGTAAGTTCTCCTACGTGGCAGCCAGGCACCCGTGGGCATTGGTGTCGGGGGTACTTAAAAGTGACTGTTAGGGTCACTGCAGAGCCCGTGGGCTGGTGGGAAGGGGCGTGGCTGTTTCCAGAGGGGGCGCTCGTCTCTGTTGTAGTTCCCACCCTAACGTGTGGGAGCGACTGCAGGGAGCACCAGGGACCTGGGCCTGCAGGTAGCTGTGGTTCTGCAGAGAACCCTCTTCGTGTGAACGACCCCAAGGCCGGTGCTGCCGGTCACGTGTGTGCAGAGCACGCGCGTCCGTGCGCCGCAGGGTGGAGTCGCCCGGCGCTATCTGTCCACTGCCGGGTCAGCGACAGTGCAGGGGTGCTCTGGGCCCTGCTGGCAGCACTGGATAGGCCTTCCCTGGGACTTCGGGGCGCTGCTGGGCCGGGGAGACCCGTGCGGGGGAAACCAGGGCTCGGTGGCTGTAGGGAAGGGTCCCCGTACCTGTGTCAGCTGCTTTTCTAGTTGCTCTTTCTCCATCTGACAGGCTTTCATCTAGGGAGGAAACAAAGGCGTTTGTTTATCAGAAAGAGGTCCAATGGCGAGTTCTGCGGCTGCCCTTGACCCAGCTCGGGGTGAGCTGCTCGGAAGCAGAGGGCCGAGCCGCTGATAGCAGGGACCGGGGGGAACAGGTGCGCCGGGGTCTTCCAGGCATGTGCCGGCTCTAGCCTGCAGTTGCCCAGTGCAGCTTGAGAGTGGAGTGGTTCAAAACCGTTCTCCCAGTGTGTCTGCGGCCATCACAAAGCTCCGTTTCGGGCTGATGTATTTAGCTACGGGTGAGGTATGGAGACAGGCACACAGACACGCTTCCATGGTTGACAGCATGTAACCGGCCTTAGTAGCCGGACATGCGGAGGCTGCCACAGCGTCACAGCCTGTCCCATGACTCTTTCCCGCTCACTGAAAACACTGCATGACTCTGAAAATCAGACAGTTTTGTCGTTCCTTTTCTTTTCTTAAGTCAAAAGTGTGTCAGCTGCAGTTGCCTCATTAACATCAATATTTACCCGTCATGGCAACTTCCTGAGTCTACTTTTCATATCCCCTATTATTCTTCATTTTGGTACGCTTACATTTACTATATTCGATTCCAGGAAGCAGGCTAACATTATCTGGCTTCCTTGAGCGTGCCCCAGTTACATGGAATCCGGGGACCCCCGGAAGAACATTCGGGTTTCACTAGGTATATAAATGATACTTATAAATATGCACGATTTCGGAAGACAGGGACATTCCAACATAGCCCTTCAAAGAAAACGACAAGAACTTAGAAACAGCTTCGCTGGAGAGTTGCGGGTCTGAATCGGAGTACTAGGGAGGTCAACTCCCATTCTACCAAAATAAATATTAGGAGGAAAAGATAAAAAGAATTAGACTTAGTAAAAGACTCTGGAGTCCAATTGCGTGGGTCACCCCTAACTATACGTAAATTAAAAGAAATCTCCAGTTGTTTTCAACTCCTTACAAGATTGTTTAAGAATGGTTTCATCCCAGGTGCTAACCTCTCAAAAAAAAATCCAGTATCAATCAACAGACGCCAGAGAGGCCCGGATCTCTTACGGGAGAGAATGATAGTGCCTACGCAAGGGCTGGCAGAGACCCTTCGAACTTGTACCTGAGACTTCAGCTTGTTCAGCTGGGACTGGGACGTTTGGTTAATTTGCTGTAGCTCCTCTTTCTCTCGATTAAGTCTTTCCCGGTCTGACCGCTCCCGGTGGAAGTCCTCTTCGTATATCTGCACCTAGGAGACATCAGTCTGCCGTTACTGGGAGCACCCTTTCCTCAAAGCCGTGTGCGCGGTGTCGGAGCAGGTGTTATCTCGGCTGGCCTAAGTCGCAGTACACTGACCTCCTTTCGTGGGTATTTCTCTGTGGTGGGGCCCATCCCAACACCCCGGACCGTGCCAGCATCGTTCACTTCGTGTGGCACGGGGGTTCTCAGCTCAGCTTGGGTACGGTAGTCACGTGCTATTCTGAACCGCATGGCCCTCGGGCATTGCTGTGCTGCCGTGTCTTCCCCGCGCGGGCCTCCTCCAGCGCCGCGTGCTGTTCTGGGGACAGTCGCCCGTCCCAGCACGGGCTCAGATGTGGGGAGACTGCTTGGGGTTCTGAAGGACGTGTGCTGACTACAGTGATTAAGTGTGTATATGCTAAATGTGTATATGCTGTGTGCAAACACATATGTTACGTTGAACACAAAATAGAATCGAAAGGCTCGTGTATGTAGACAAGCAGAGCGGGATTGGTCGAAGGGCTTCACGGGCCCTGGGAATTCGGGAGGAAAATCACAGAAATAGAAACGTAGCCATGTTTCAATGAACACCGCCCCTGAGATGCTCCAAGTATTCCAGAAAAGGAAGCAAACCGAAAAGAAAAACAGATCGAATGAGTGTGGTTTTTCATTGGCATCGTGTTGACGAATGGCGTGACAGCTAGCATATGGAGCTGTGGAAATAAACGCAGCTTTGGGAATGAAGCAAAGGAATCCATCCAAGACCGTGACTTAAATGACAACTTCTATTGGGCCCTAGTAGTTAGAATTTTGTCTATTAACACTAACGCATATTTTAACTTCATCACCAACAGCGCAACCAGTTTTAACTAAAGGTCATCCATTGTAAGTCTATAATAATACAACAAAATGTAATAGACAAGCGAGGACAAAATTGAACATTTTATGTAGGCTTAGATGCAGATATGCGTATTTAATTTCTAAGGCTCCGTTCACCAGAAATGTGAGGACACGCCACCCAGCCAGGCTGACACTCTGGTTTTGAGTTCTGGTGGCGAGCGGAGGCTCCGTTTCAGCACATCAGCTGGTGTTCTGCAAACAATTACTAGAGACATTTGAAGTGGGAGAAGCCATCTGGTCGCCACTGAGCTCTCTAACGAACAGGGCCCCCGGAGAGAGGGCATCGTTTAGTCAGGGGGCGAGATTCCAGCTCAGCTGCTTTGTGGGGTTACGTCCTTGCAGGTTGCACGTGGCCCTGGCTGACGTTAGGACTGTGGGCGCCCGGTTAGAAACAGGCGCAGTTAGAGGGAATAGGCAGGAAGTCAGCAGAAGTCAGCAGTGAGGACGTGGATTCTGGTCTGTTCTTGGGGATTAGGAAGGGAAGCGTGCCTACCATTGTGTCACGTGGGAGCCACACCATGAGCTCAGGAAAGAGCCCTTCCCAGCCCTGGGTCTAGGACAGCCTCTCCCAGCGGCTACTGTGTCAGCGACAGCGTGCGCTTCAGCATTGGGGTTCCTGTGCACCCTGCTCTTGGCCCCCACCGACCTGAGCGGTGACATTCATCCATTTCACCTCCATTGAATGGCTCACAGGAAGGGAGGTGTTACACATGGGTGGCCCTGGGCCGGGCCAGCTCCAGCGGGCTGAATTGACAGCCGGGTTGCGTCTGCTCTATGTCCCCTCCCTGTGCTGCTGGTACGAGCAAAAGCTGAGAGAGGATCCTTTCCTGTCGCTGTGGGCAGTGGGCGACTGGGTGAGTGGGGAGGGGTCCATGCCCATCAGTACGCTGCGAGGCGGTGCCTCGGCCGGGGCAGAGGAGGGGTCCAGCTCTTCGCGGATGATATCGCTGCGAGTATTCCCTTAACACGCCTCGCTGTTCCAAGGCCACCGTCCTCTGAGACGGTCCAGAGAGCGGGTTAATAGTGTTGCAAACTAACTCGTGTCTACCCAACACAAATAGTACCTCCGATATGGGCCATGAGTGTGATCGTGGGCACGCCACTGAGCCCGCCCGACGCTCAGCTCCCTCTCTCAAAAAGTGTGAGTTGGGTCCTGGCCGGTTTGGCTCAGCGGTTAGAGCGTCCGCCTGCAGTCCGGAGAGGCCCGGGTTCGGTTCCCGCTAAGGGCACGTACCTTGGTTGCAGTTTGTCCCCGGCCCTGGTTGGTCGTGCGGGTGGCAGCCACTCGATGTGTCCCTTTCACGTCGATGTTTCTCTCTCTTTCTCTCTCTCTTCCTCTCTCTCCCTCCCACTCTATCTGAACAAAAAATGGAAAAATATCCTCAGGTGAGGATAAAAATAAATAAATAAAAAGTGTGAGTTGGACTCGCTGGTCTATATTCGCCCAAGGAGCTTTAACATTAGATGATTCTACTGAACGTAAACACTCAACATTTCACACGTCGTGAAGAGCAGACTCCCCCAAATGTCTGAGGGCGCATGGTCTGCACGCCCTGTGCTCTCCGCGTGACCACGCCCCCCACCTTCTCACCTGCTGCTTGAGCACCTCCATCTCCGTTCTCATCTCCTCGCGGCTGCACCCCTTCTCGGGCCTCCCCAGACGGTCCTCGGGCAGCGGAGAGCACTCGCGTCCTAAGGCCTCCTGAAGAGCCTGCGGCAGGAGATAACGCGCTGTTGACCTGAGAGTCACGGGACGTGAATGTCGCGCTAACTGGCACCCAGGCGGTGCATCTCCTTTTCAACGCTACGGTCACGATGGAGTGGCTTTCTCCCTTCTGGTTTTCTAGCATCTACGTGTCACTTTGCAGAATCTGCCTTTCCCGCCTGATGGTGCTCACGCTGTTCAGCTCCCAGCGTCGTTCCGCCGGGCTCTCCCCTGGGGCCCCTGCGCCCAGCCAGCCGCAGGACGACACTGACCCGTGCCCCATCTTCCTCTAGATTCTCTGCTGCCCTTCAGGGTGTCCTCTGTCAGTAATGAGCACCGCGTAGGGAGCATTGGAATCAGCTGGAGAGGCAGCAGGCACACCCGCCCCTGGGCACTGCCTCCGGAGATCCTGAGTCAGCAGGTCGGGGGTAGGGTCTGAGAGGCGGCTCCCCCCAGGCGGATGCTGCTGGCCCAGGTGACCTTCTGAGGGGTCTGCTATGTAACCATGCCCCCGTAGGAGGGGGAAGCACACGGCGATGTGAGCCCATGCAGGGCATTCTGGCGGCTCTGCCCGGTCCCCCTCAGCACAGACTGCCCTGGCCGCGCCCCTCACGTTGTCCAGCAGGACACCCAGGACCGCGCCGGGTGGACACAGTGCTCTCCTTTCTTGACATTCGGTCCAGCTTGGCGTTTTCACCCCGGGGTGAGGAGGTGAAGGAAATAAGAGACCCTTGGACTTGCCATCAAGATGATCAGCCTTACTCATTAGCCTGTGACACTAACAGACACTGTGCTTGGTCGGAGCACATCAGTGACATCGCCTCTGTTCTGAGGACCTTCGATCAGGATGAGTTTAATGTAACAGATGCCAAAAAAGGGCACGGGCATACCTCATCCCGGTGTGGTCTCAGAGGACACACACTGTGTGACCACTCGCGTACTGTCGTGACACCCCCATACAAGTAGCTCACCCCATCCAAGTCAGAGCTGCAGGAACTCACCTCCTCTGTATCTCTTTAGTAGCTTCGATGATGCCATTTTGGTTAAACTATTAGTAACGTAATTCCCCGTATTCCTAATACAATGTGATCATCAAGGTAGGAAAAGAAAAACACGTGTATGGTTTTGAATATGTGTGGACAGACCGAGAATCCTGTGCCGGAATGTCTTGGAGTCTATGCACACTGTCCAGGCTGATGTAAATATCATTGTTCAGGAAGTTGTCAGAGAAATAGAACTTTTTTCCTTCCTCCAAAGAGGATTTAAAGAAACAACAAAACTTGTTTACTAATTTATGTTGTTAAAATGTGTTGCTTAGCTACCTAGTCTTAGGCAGTAGTATCATAATAGCTACAATGAAAAAAAAAATACATCAGTAAGTAGCAGAGAATCCAGGGTGAGCTGAGCCAATCAGATGTGCAGGTTCCATGTCCACCCCTAGGAACAGACCAGTTTTCATGGGTCTTGTTACATTTGAATTTCCTGGTCCGCCTTTCATGTTATGGCTTCTAGAAATTTTGCAAATGAGTCACCGTTGAAAGGGGAGTCTCCTAGACATTCATTCTATCTTGGGGTTTTCCAGCTTCCTCGAACAGACACCTGTAACCTGTTCTAGAAGGAGCAGCACAGTCATTGACTGTCGGCTCAGATGCACTACACAGATCCACCCTCACACACTGCTGAGACTTCAGACAGAGCGTGGGCCCCCAAGGGGCCCTGGCTGACTAACCTCAGGTAATTTCTTTCACATGGGTTAAACATCTGGCTTTTCTTCTAGAACTTGACTGAAAACAAAGCCGTTGGGTATTTCCTTCAAAGCACATAAGTTGAACTGAGTACACACACAGTTGGGTGAGCTTCTGAAAACCGTACATTAATTACCAAGGTGACAAGCTACAAATTCCCCTGGTCAGCAGGCAGCTGACTTTCCACTCTGGGGTGAGCAGCGTGTCCCGTCAGCCACCCAAATCAACGTTTTGAGTACCTTCTACTGATCACAGTGGTTAAAAAGAAGGGGAAAATATCTACTGTGTAAATTAGAGTAATTTCTCATATTCCAGGAGACCCTAATCCATGGGCTCCGTGAGGAGAACCCTGTTCCAGAGGCATTATTTTGTATCTACGTTTGCAAAGTGGCCGTTTCAATGGGCGTGTGGGATGAAGCATTTTCTGGTGTGAAGTCTGCTCTTACTTCTCACTGCTCATCAGTCACGAGTTCCGCCTACCAGGCATGGGTTAATGCTTCCACAGGTCCGGAGCGAGCTACTGAACAGCTTATGTCCTAGCTAATCCAATCCGTCCACTCATGCACCCACTCAGCAAATACCGAAGCACAGAGTATGAGCTGGGCCATGTTCTAGGCACCCAGGACTCAGCGGCGAACCAAACAGCAAAGTCTCTGTGAGTCCGTTCCTCGATCTAAATATAGCTTGACATTCTACTTTGTAACTGCATTCTGCAAAGATGAGTATATGAATATGAAAACATTTTTTTTTGAACTCAACGTTTACTTTCATTTTCTTCTGATTTTCAGAGACACTGACATATTCATGAGCCCCTAAAAGGATCCTGGGCCCTGGACGCTGTGCTCAATCTGTCTAATAGAGAAGCTGGCCCTGCAAAAATCTACCCCCCATCTGGAGCTTCCAGTCAAGATTGGGAGTCTGGAAACGAATAAGATACTCGTTATGGGACATTAAACATGTCTTAGATAGCGATACATTCCAAGGGAGAATTAAAGCAGACATGCTAGAGGAGAAGTATGTCATTTCAACTAGGATGGGCAGAACCGTTCTCTTTGAGGAGGGGCTACTTCTATAAAGACCTGATTTTTTTCTTTTCTCATCCTCCCCTGAAGACATTTTTCCACTTTGGTTCAAACAGAGTGGGAGGGAGAGAGAGGAAGAGAGAGAGAAACATCGGCGTGAGAGGGACACAAGTGGCCGCCTCCCTCACGACCCCAACCAGGGCTGGGGATGATTTGCAACTGAGGTACGTGCCCTTGACCGGAATCGAACCCACGACTCACTGGTTCGTGGGACGCCGCTCCAACCACTGAGCCAAACCAGCCAGGGCTCTAAAAGACCTAAATTTTACTCAAATTAATTTTTCTCACTGAGACTTTACAATGATAATCACAAGACTTATACAATTAGTATTTTTCTAACTTCAAAATTTTTTCTGATGGCTATAAATAAAGATACACAAAAAGAAAGGGGTTACCCATGGGCATGAGCCAAAAACAGAGTTCCTAGCTGTCGTGATTTCTACAGGCTTTGCACCCTGTGGCTACGCGCAGAGACATGAATTACAGCAGTTGCTTCTCAGCCTTGTCCCTCTCTGGGCACACATAAACGCGTGACTAAAATTCTGCTGCGCACCAAAAACGTATTCTTTTGCCCATCTGACAAACAAATAGGTCTCATTTGCGATCATTCACACCAGATGGCCATTGCTGGGTGGGCTGTTGACCTTGTGTTATTAGACCCTCTGAGGGAGGAGAGGTCAGTGCCCCTGGCTACGGCGACAGCCGCTGTGTGTTTTAAACATTCTCGTGGCTGAACATCGCTGGACGGGAAAAGAGAAACCGTATGGAGGGATGTGCCGGGAGGGGGAGGGGCCTCAGGTAGAATCTCTGTGCTGGTCCCTCTCGGTCATTAGTGGAGTTTCCAGTAGAGGAGAAAAGGGGGAGACGCACATTTGCCCGAGCTTGTGTCTGACCTCTGTTTTTCTCTCTTGGAGGACAGAGAAGCAGAGTTTAGGAAGTCTGCCTCCCCGTCCCCATCTCCGCGGAAGGCTGGGCCTGCGACATCACATGCCACCAGCCACGCAGCACGCAACCCTGCAGGAGTCTCTCAATGCCACCTCTGGACACTCGGGCACAGTTCACAACGGCCGCACGGTCAAGGCCGGTCAGCCCCCTACCCTGGTTTTGGAAGACAGTTTCTACTACTTTGGTCAAGAAAGGTCTAGCTTGAGAGGTGCGTGTCTCAACCACGCACGGCCAGGGTTCTCTGGGACGTGGCCCTCGGAGAAGTCGACAGCAAAGGACTTCCGTTGAGCCGTGGTCCCGTCCCGCAGAAAATTAAGCCAGTACCCGTAGAACACACACGGGCGCCCGCCCCGCCGGGGGCGCCCCCGGCCCCGTGGGGATGCGAGAGCCGGCTGCTTCCTCAGGAAACTGTGGTTGACCGAGAGGGACGCGGTTGTTCTCAGACACCTGTTTGCGCCTGTGGTTCTTCGAACTGAAAAACCGTTCGGACGTCTTCTAGAATCTCTCCCTGTCCCGTGTTCGTGCTGACGCTGGGCAGGGACGTGCATTGCCAAGTGTGCTTACCAAGTCAGGCCCGGCCACGCGGGTGGGGTGCGGAGTGGGGACCCCTCCTGCGCACGCCGGGGGGGACCCCAAGCAGCCGGAGCGCGTGGACCTGCCGGCTGAGCTCATGACACAGGCCCCCGGGGACCCCCAGCCTGACCCGCCGTACCTTGTTAAGGCGTCTGATCTCACACTCATAGTGCTCCTTCTTCCTGCTCGCGAGAGCGTTGTTTTCCTTCAGTAGCTTATTTTCTTTCTTCAGCTCGTGTAATTCTCTGTTCAGGCTCTCCTGTCCCTTCTGAAGTAAAGAGCAAGGGGACAACGTCAGTCTCGCTTGGTGACTCGCCCCCGGAGGCGTGTTCTGAAGTGCAATGGACCAGGACCTGCGGGTCTCCCCGGGCATGGCCCCGGGCTGCCTTCTGGGGGGCAGGTGAGCACAGAGAAAGCTTTCTGTTATCCTCAGTGCTCTGCAGCTGCGGGGCCTCAGAAAAGGGTCTGATCAAACCCCAGGCTCACTGCCAAGTGGGTCTGAGAACAAGCGAGTCCCGTCCCTGCTGCACAGGGACAGGCGGGTGACCTGGGAAATGTACTAAAAAATCCCGAAAGGAAGAGTGTGGTTGCCACAAAAAGACCACCTCTCCGGCTCCCAGCCCTGTCCTGCCCCGTCCTGGGCCGGAGAGGACGCGGAGGGCGAGCTTCGGGCCAAGTCCCTCGCACAGAAAGCGGTCTGAGCCCTGGGGGGGTGGTCGCGCCTTTCAGAGGAGGGGCAGCCGGCCCAGCGCCGTCCTGCCGTGGCCGCAGGTCACCTGCGGGGCCCAGGGCTTGACCCGAACAAGGGAAGCCCGGTGGCTGAGTCACCCACAGGCTCTGGATTCAGGCAACACCTGACTCTCTCCGCGTTACGTCCTGGACAGTCAAGTTTGTGCATGACTCAGGTCCCTGATGAATTCGCGATTTTCACCCAGGAAAATGAACATGCCAGGACTCAGGTATGAGGAAAGGGCCCTACAGGTGTCAGAGGGTGTCGTTTCAGCGATCGTATTTCCCACTACCAGGACCAGATGTAAGACCTGGGCTGCAGCGAGTCCTTCTCAGGAGTCAAACGTCTCTGCTAGCTTTTACTTCAGTACAATGGGACGAGGCACCTAGAAGGTGGGCCGGTCGTTTTCTAACTTAGCACAAGCTGAGAGAAAGTGATTTCGGCTAGAAAGCAGTCCCTCCCGCATGAGGAAAACATCGCCCCATCCCTGGTCGGGGCGAGGCCGGAAAAGGCAGGCGGCCGAGAGGGACTCCCTGCGACAGAGTGGTCCCCGGCACCTGGGATACCCTGACACTCCTTGTTTTTCTTAACACCCCTGAGAACGAGCGGCCTCTGGAGCATAAGATCTTCCTCCCATATTTTCCTACAACCTCCGTGAGGTCCGGTAACCGTCACCGGATGGCCACCGGATGGCCACCGTCTGGCGCTCAGCAGGGATCAGGAGCCCCGAGAATCGGGAGAATGGGTTCACACCCCGTTTTCCCTCGCACTAGGTGATCGACATCGGCCTGTCACCGAACCTCCGAGTTCAGCACTCTCGTCTTTAAAATAGCAGGAATATCTTTCTTTCACAGGTGGGCTGAGGTTACACGAGTGAAGAAGGTTGAGGGGCTTTTTCAAATGTTCTCTTTTCTGATTACAAACCTCATACCTCTTTGTAAAGCTTTCTGTAAGCTGTACCGGGTCAAAGTATTGTCATATTATTGTTAAATATGAGTAACACACACACACACACACACACACACACACGAAATAACACTGGATTTTCCCCGAGGCTGAAATGCCCTAGAGAGATGTCACCAGCTCCATGGCTCAGGGTCTAGCTGGCAGGTCCCGACCTGCCTGTTTGAGGGACAGAGGACAAGTGGGCATGTCCTTCCTTCTGAGTCCTGAGAAGTGGCCCCTGTTTGCGGCCCTGAGCCCTTGCGTGACTGTCTACCCGCACACGCGTCACTGCCCCACGTCCTCGGCTCCTCGGGCTGGGGTCCCCCGGGGCTGCACCCACCTCCTGTCTCTGCTGCTGCTCCGGGGCCGGGTCCCTGGGGCTGTCGCCCTCCTTCTGGCTCGGTGGCAGGGGCAGTTTCTTTTCCAGGGTGCTGAGGAATCTCTCTGTGGCCTCCAGTTTCGTTTTCAGCTCTGCAACCTGAAGCGGTCGACACAGGCAGCTGCTGACTGGAGCTCACTCCCAGGGGGTCTCCCTCAGCCTGCACACATGGGACAGCCAGGCCCTACTCCTGGGTGTCCCCCGGGCAGGGTCCCCTCCCCACTGCCAGGAAATTTGCATGTAAAAAGGAGCAGCCCTACTGGGAAAACAAACACCCCACAGCCTCCAGCACCTTCCTGCTCACCCCAAACCACATCACCACGCAGGGGATAGAGCTAGAGTCAGACGGGGACCCTCGGCTGGCATCTGCCCTCCTATGTCATCTACTCTCCTGCGGCACCTGCTCTCCTGTGGCATCTGCTCTCCTGTGGCATCTGCTCTCCTGTGACATCTGCTCTCCTGTGGCATCTGCTCTCCTGTGTCACCTGCTCTCCTGTGGCACCTGCTCTCCTGTGGCATCTGCTCTCCTGTGACATCTGCTCTCCTGTGGCACCTGCTCTCCTGTGGCACCTGCTCTCCTGTGTCACCTGCTCTCCTGTGACATCTGCTCTCCTGTGTCACCTGCTCTCCTGTGGCATCTGCTCTCCTGTGACATCTGCTCTCCTGTGGCACCTGCTCTCCTGTGGCACCTGCTCTCCTGTGTCACCTGCTCTCCTGTGACATCTGCTCTCCTGTGTCACCTGCTCTCCTGTGGCATCTGCTCTCCTGTGACATCTGCTCTCCTGCGGCACCTGCTCTCCTGCGGCACCTGCTCTCCTGTGGCACCTGCTCTCCTGCGTCACCTGCTCTCCTGAGGCACCTGCTCCCCTGTGGCATCTGCTCTCCTGTGGCATCTACTCTGGGCTGACATCCTACTCTTGGCTCTCAAGGTGTGGCAATGAGGGGGGAGGAGCGGCCCATGCCTCAGGAACGCAGACATGGCCTTCCTGTCATCTAACCTGCAGCTTGACCGATCCCAAAGGCTGCATTGGTCCCCAGAGCGAGGACAGTCAGAGAGAGCAGCGGCAGGGACGGTGGAGTCCTGCCCATTTTCAGCGGCTGCACACGCCCGCCAACCGCTCAGGCACGTGGCGCAGACGTTCCCCCGATCACGTTCCTGCAAACTTGGAGGCTTCTAAGCTCCCAGACTCAGTACCAGCACATGGCCTGGGGGAGGGGGACACTGTCCTGCTCTTTCTAAACCGACTCTTCTGGGTGTCAAAACGGGGAACAGAGGAGCAATCCTCTTGCATGATTCACTGGTGGTCAAGTTTCTTAATTCCGAATTATTTGGCAGAATTTACTTTCCCTTTTCCCTCTGTGTAAATGTGGAATGATTTTAAATTCTAAATTGACTTTGACCTGTTAAGAGATATTTTCTCCAAAAAAGCCTTTCTCAGCAAAGCAAAGGCTGCTTGAGAGAGCTCAGGATTTGGGGTGGCGGGGGGACCCCACCCCCACCACGCGTTCACTGTGCTGTCCAGCTGGGGAAGCGGGGGGCTAGCCTTGCGGGAAACAGCGTGGACTTGAGGACGTCCGGCCCTCCCGGTAGCCGGGGCGTGTGCGGGGCCGGTCACCCCGCCGAGGCCGGCGTCCTCTGCGCCCTGATGGGTGAGGGTGAGGACTCCAGAGACTGCTCCGGAGGCGATGTTTGGTGCCTGCTGGGCCATCAGGGCAGTTCCGACCAGTTCATCTTCAGTGGCGGAGGCCAGAGGGGCACTCAGCACCCTCCCCTCCTTCAGCCGTGGGCGGCCCAAGGCCCCGCACCCGAACCTCGGAGCCCTCCCGTGCTGGCGCCCCTACAGAGGCCGCGTTACCTTTGTCTCGTACAGCTCTTTCATACTCCGGAACTGCTGGTCCCATTGCTGGTTCACGTCCAGGAGCTGCAAGTAGCCCAGTGGGGAAGTCAACACATGTGGCCCAAGTGAAGTCACGCTTTGAGGTTTCTGAGAGTTTGGAGCCCCGAGTGAAGACTGTATTCCCGAGAACCGGCGGTCTTTGGCAGAGCTGGACCAGGCCACGTTCATCAGCACTTTTTAACTCTGCTGAGTTATGTGCACTTTTCTTTGTTTGATCTCACCGGGATCTGGTAAAAATTTGTAAGTACTGATGGCTTTTTGTAAGATTCATTCAAATATAAAAAGTTGCCCTGGCCGGTTTGGCTCAGCGGTTAGAGCGTCGGCCTGCGGTCCCGAGAGACCCGGGTTCGGTTCCCGCTGAGGGCATGTACCTTGGTTGCGGTTTGTCCCCGGCCCTGGTTGGGTCATGTGGGTGGCGACCACTCGATGTGTCCCTTCACGTTGATGTTTCTTTCTCTCTCTCTCTCCCTCCCACTCTATCTGAACAAAATATAAAAATATATATATATATAAAAGGTTTTTTTTGCAAACCTTTCTATATTTTCCAGTGTGCTTATATTGATTACTATAATGAAATATTTCTCCCAGCTTTTAAAAGGAGAATGTATATTAACAAATTCCACAGCCCATTAACTGAGCATCATTTGCCTGTGGTATCGGCCCTTTTGAATTCACATGTGCTCTGGGATGTGGATCAGTACACGGATAATACCCAGTTTTGAAAGCACAGATCTCCATGAGATAGTTTTGTCATAAAACAATGTTCAGAAATAATATTTGAAAGTTTAAAAAACTTTGTGCTAAGCAGAAGGAAGAAAAAGGTCTGTGACCTGCGTTTAGTTTCCTTAGAAGGGCGGCCTGCGACCCCCTCCGTGGAAGAGAGACTGCAGACACACCTGCAGACACACACTGACAGTCACAGACGACTGCAACGCGGGAAGACTTTCTCCTCCTTAGAAAACAAAATATCCAATCCAGACCGGCAGTGACTAGGTCATTCTTACGCTGGAAACACGTGTGGGTATTTATAAGACCAGAACATTATATACCTGGTCTGCTGGCGTTTTAGGACTGACGTGTCGGGGCTGTGACAACGTCACTCTGCTTTAGTTCCGAAGCTCTCCGGACGCGCCGTCCTTGCTGCGGCACCCACGCGGCGCGGAGCACGCGCGAGGACAGCGTGAAGGGGCAGTTACCAAATGGGCATGCGCGGTGCTCCCCCGTCCCACTTCCCACCTCGTCCTGTGTCAAGAAGAATAAAGAGGTTCTAACCCTCACTGAACTCAGAAGAGCACCACTCAAACAAAGCGCATCCATCTTAGGAACATTTCTGATGGTGATGCTCCTCGACCCCCATCGGCCGATGCCCGATTCGTGAGAGCACAGCGCTGAGGTCTTGGACAGTTTGAGTCTCCAGGTGTGTCAAGTTGCAAGGTGTACAGGTTACAGGTGATCAGCTCACCTGGCCCATGGGGAGGGAAGGTCTAGGTTTTGAGGAAAATGAAGAGGAGCGTCTTGGGATTTATGACTGTCACTCATTTGCACAAACACTGAGAGGCCAAAGCAGCAGATAAGCAAGTGACTAAGGAAAAGCATTTGCTCTCAAAAGAACAAGTCCGGACCCTACAGATGATCACGGTGGCCTAGTAACAAAATGAAGGGCCCTGGGGGATACGCTCTCTGTCATTCTCAGCCTCACTCCATGCATACGTGGGTTCGACTAATATTTCAGAATTACCTCTTTTCTCTGTTTTTCCAAGTGCCGTATCTTTCGTTCAAGAGAATTTGTGGAGTTCTCTCCTCTCGACGGTTTAGCACACTTGAACAGAAAAAAAAAAAAAAAAAAAAGAGTAGAATAAAATACACTATAAAATAAACAAGAAAAATACTGTCCTTCACAAACTCTGTGCATTTGGCAAACTCTCGTGTTGGGATTTGTTACACAGTATCTTATTCTGACGGTAACAATCCTCGTACCCCAGTCCTCATAGAGACCGTGATGACTAAGCTTCACGTTGCGTTCTAGACTCCTTTCTGTACATCAATCGCCCAAATAATTCTCTAACAAATGACCAAATATCTATGTAATAGGCAAGCAAGAAATGAGGACTTTTTGAATTCGGACTTCAATGCCTTTAACAAAATGAAAATTCAGAGTAGCTGGCACATAGAAATCTGGTGAGTCTCATGGGTACATGTTCGGTATTCTACACAGGAAACGTTTCTCTAAGATCATTTTCGCAGGTGTGTCTGCCACTGGAGGGGTCTCTGGCGGAAGTCAGAGGGATGACGGAAGCAAGAGAAAGACCAGCGTGTGCAGTTAGAGGCAGGACCCTGATGCTCGCTCCAGTGAGTCGGCTCCTCGGAGACCCTCGGGCAGCTGTGCAATGGAGGTGGGTGGGGGTAGGATGTCTGGAATTGTGTCATTTTCATCTGCCCTTTGAATAAGGCCTCTAGGGTACACATTTTCGGGGTCTTTGGGGGGTCGGGTGGGAGTTTTCACTTAAAGAAAGCAGCCCTGGAAACTGCCTGCCCTGTGTCCCCGTCGGCCACCGACAAAGCTCACTTAAGTACTGTTTTCTCTAATTCGACCGGCTCCTGCCATGTCCTCTTTGAGTCACACAGTGATCCAGTGACTTGGGTGGCAGCCCCAGTCTGCTGTCCGTTTTCACGCTCAGCAGACGGAGCCCAAACTGGCTGAGAGATGCTCACAGCCTCACACGCTCGGAGCGTGCTGGCCTCAGCCAGGAGCCAGGGCAGGACATGCCCCTGGCCATCATCAGGGGCCGCCCCGGACGTCTTTCCTTAGATCGGTTTACGAAACCAATACCTGTCTTTTCTCTGTTTACCTGTGTTGCAGCCAAGGTTTTACGGTTTGGTGCTATTCTGTGTGTCTGTAGATGCTATTCTTAATTTTCTTAACTTCTTCCTATTCAGATCCATGTACAGTTCAAACCACCTTTTAAAAGTGACATCCTCGCCCAGCCAGTGTGGCTCAGTAGTTGAGCATTGACCCAGGCACCAAGAGGTCACCGGTTCGATTCCTGGTCAGGGCACATGCCCAGGTTGTGGGCCCGATCCCCAGTGGGGGGCGTGCAGGAGGTGGCCAATCCATGTTCTTTCTCATCGGTGTTTCTATCTCTCTCTCCTTCTCCCTTCCTCTCTCTCTAAAATCAATAAGGAAAAAAAAAAAAGTGACGTCGCCCCTGGGTCCACACATTCAGAATGAGTATACTTGCTCTGAGCTCCGGCTGCTTTGGCCGAGGGCCAAAAGTGACATCAAGTAAACTGAGAAAAGACAGGTGACAGGTATGTTGGGTGTTGTAATTGGGCTTTCCCCTTGCAGAGAGACTTCCCAGAGCCGGGGCCCACTCTGGATCAGAGCAGACGAATTGTAGGCACCTCTGATCTGGAAAAGGCTGCAAGTTGCCCCCACTCGGAGTGCCCTGAGATGGGGCTCCCGGCCAGTGTCCTCACACAGGGATGATCAGTCACATGGGAGCCGGCACCCTGGACACTGACCCAGCATTTCTGAAACAGAGCCAGAGCACCTCTGTTTTCTGTTTAATAAATTTCATTTTTAGAGCAGTTTTAGGTTCATAACACAGTGGAGTAGGGGTACAGAGATTTCCCATACTCCTGCTGCCCCCACACATGCGTAGCCCTCCCCAGTATCAACAGCGCCCAACAGAGGGGTACATCTGTGACAACAGATGAACCTGCACTGACACATCATCATCGCCCCATCCACAGTGTGCATTAGGGTTCCCCCCTGGTGCTTTACACTGGGTTTGTGGCACGTGTCTGTCACTGTGGTATCACATAAAGTGGTTTTACTGCCTTAAAATTCCTCTGTGGTCCACCTGTTTGTCCCACCTCTATGCTTGATAAATTCTGCAGGTCATAATGATTCATACTAAAGTGCAAGTTTCTCCTGTTTTACACCATGCTCGGGAACATGGGTGTAGGCTCTTTAAAGAGTCTCCTCTCGCCCTGGCCGGTTTGGCTCAGCAGTTAGAGCGTCAACCTGCGGTCCGGAGAGACCCGGGTTCGGTTCCCGCTAAGGGCGCGTACCTCGGTTGCAGTTTGTCCCCGGCCCTGGTCGGTCGTGCGGGTGGCAGCCACTCGATGTGTTCCTTTCACATCGATGTTTCTCTCTCTTGCTCTGTTCCTCTCTCTCCCTCCCTCTCTACCTGAACAAAAAAATGGGAAAATTTCCTCGGGTGAGGATAAAAAAAAAAAAGAGTCTCCTCTCTGTTGGTGACAGGGACAGAAAGAATCGGGGGTCAGCAGGTGTTTGCAGGGTGCTGCCTCTGGGGCTGCAGCTTAGGAGAGATCAGACGGTGTGCATCCTTTTTGTGCCATATGTCATTTCTCTGAAAGAAATATGAAATGTGTTGATCCTTAACTTTTATTTTATAAATAAGAGTTCTTGAAAGGCGGCATATGGTTCTGGGAGGGAGAGGCAGAGGAGGGAGGGGGGTGGGAGGGAGGGGAGAGAAAAAGAGAGAGAAAGAGAACAGTAATAGAAATGGCTTGGAAGCCATGAAGACATCACCAGAAGTTTCTCTGGAGAGTAACCCACATTTTACCCTGATGCTTATGTCTCAGGTGTACGTTAAAATGAAGCAAATTCTATCAAACACAGTTTTGGAGAATCTTTTCATTTATATTTGCTTTGCTTTCCCGTTGCTAATGAAGGCATCAGCTATTATAAGAACTACACAGATTTCAAGTCATCAGTTCTACTCAGGGCCCGGTTACGTAGTAACTATTTCCTATACAATGTAACCTGTGCTCAGGGCCCGGCTACGTAGTAACTATTTCCTATACAATGTAACCTGTGCTCAGGGCCCGGTTACGTAGTAACTATTTCCTCTACAATGTAACCTGTGTTCAGAGCAGCTGGGCATTTCCCTCTCGTTCACTGTAACCCCCAGAGCCCTTCTCACATGGTCACGTTCTGACACTACTGAATTAACACCACGTGAGCAGAGCAGTCTCGCTTAGTTTCCTATCATGTCTTGGTTAGCTCTTAAAACAACTTCAAGAAAGCACATTCATTCATTCATTCGTTCGTTCATTCGTTCATTCAAATAGGATCTGTTGTAGTAACCAGTACCCCAACAAAGACTATGGCACTAATTCCAAACATATATATAAAACTACAGCTACTTTATTGCTATAATGCATTTGCTTTCCAACCACATTAATATAATATTTTTTTAAAATCTTACATGGAATTGAATTCTTCTAAATCAAGAGCAAAATATGAAACCCAGAGAGCTGGGGAGCCGAGGGAGCAGGGCGTGCCCTCGGACCAGGGGCAGAGCAGGTCAGAGGTCAGAGGATCCCCAGCATCACCCAGGGGGTTTGTCATCGACAACATTGTTCATAAATGCAGAGCGGTCGTCGCCAGAGGCAGCGACGTGGCCGCGTGCAGCCTCAGCCCCCCGGCAGCTGCGGGAACGGTCGCAGCCCCAGAAGGGTGCTCTTACCTCGGCGTGCTCCCCGGGACTTCCTGCAGCGCCCCTGCCTGAGCCCTGCTCCAGATGAGCCATGGGAGCTGGTTTCCCCGGTGTCTTGGGAAGCAGAAAGAAAATGTCTCGTGAGCTGTGTTTGCAGTGAGAGCGCACGGAATTGCAGAGCCCACGGACCCAGCGAGCGGGTGATGGAAAGAACAGCCCCAGCTTCCACGGAGCGTGGACAGAAGTGCCCCCGGAGGAGAGTTGCGCAGAATAAGGTTCTGAGCACAGCCACTGTGACTTTAAGGTTTCTTCTGCTCCACGCAGGGATTTCCCAGGATGTGTCAGACGGGGCAGGCGGTGACTCAGAGGACAGGATGGACGGCCCTGTGCTGGCATGCAGATCCGCGTTCTCCCTTCCTGGCAGTGGTTCCCTCGAGGGGAAGTGAGCGCAGAGAGCCGGGCAGACCAGGTCCCCTCCGCAGCCCTCCGTCCACCGCGTTTCCCAGGCAGTGAGGCACCGGGCACTTTGTCACAGCGCTGTCCCTCACTTGCCTACAGGCCCGGTGTTCTGGCTGGGCCTCAGGAATGTCAGCCGGGCTGTGTGGGACTCCATGAGTCACTGGGGTTCTGTGAGTGCTGCTACTTTTATGGAGCACAAAGGGAAAACAGTCCGCAAGCGAGGACGCTGTTTGCAAAGCTTATCTCCCGCGTGGCCAGGCAGTGTGGACATGGCCGTCCAGGCCGGGACTGCCCTCTCCACGGTGAGGTCCAGGTTTCTCCAGGACGCGCCGGGAGTGCAATCTTCCCCGCGCTAACATTTCAGCCTTGATTAGTGGACGCTTGTCCTACCAGGGCACGGGGCGGTGGAGCACAGGGTAGGTCGGACGGGCAGCCCACACATGGGCACTGGGTGCCGTGCAAACGGGCCAGGTGGAGCACACACCTCAGCTGGACGTGGAGGGAAGAGCAAAGATAAAGCGAGAATGCAAAAGGGAAGCGTGTGTTGCTAAGAGAAAAGAAACAGTTTACAGTCAATCACATAATTTGCATTTTTCTTTAGATTTCCCTGAAGACATCCACATATCTGTGGTATACATCCTTGAACTCCGGAAATGACAGCTCTTTCGGGGGGGGGGGGCGGTGAATGGGTGTCCCCGAGCGGGCCCTCCCTTTTGTCCTTCCTATCTCCCGCTCCCCACATCCCCCTGGGCCCCAGACACACTGCCTCTCCTCCTTTCCCTGCAGCGAGCCCGTGTCCTGATGGGTGCTGCTCATTCCACCCGGGACATCCCCGGGTGGACCCTCCGGCCCGGTGGCTGCCGCCCTGGTCTGCCCGCTCACTGGCCAAGCAGAGTGCGTCGCTTGGCATTTGCGATAGCTTATTTACATGGGCGGTGCCCCTCTGTACCCACACTTCGGGGCACAGGGCAGGTGTTCACACATTCTGCCGAGTGAGTGAATGGACGAAAGTCCACAAACCACATTTATAGACGCCGCGCTGCGTGCGTGTGTGTGTGTGCTTTTTGCTGGATTCTTGGTCTGCTGTGGAGTACACCTGAGCGCAAGGCAGCGACATTTCATCAAGGCAATATCCAAAGACACACGCAGGAACCAAATTGTGCAGAGAGCTAAAGGGAAAAGCGATGACTCGGGTCGGGTCTGATTTGAGGGGCTACAAGCAGAGGCTTCCTGGAGACTCATACTTCACCCACCGAAGTCCGCTCAGCAGGAAAGAAGGAAAAAAAAGCCAATAAGGTAAAAAATGTTTTTCCCACACACACAGCAGAGTTATATATGAGTCAAGGTTCCCTGCAGTCTTATCTGTGCGGTTGGCAGTGACCCCGTGGACGTGACAGCATTACTGACCAGGAAGCGGGTAGAACTCCTTCTGCCAGGAAGCTCTGTCCGTTGTCCCTGGGTGTTCTCGGTGCTGGTGTTCGGCGGTTGCTTCTAGTGAACAGAGGTCCCCTGACCATCCCTTCGCCTCTGCTCTGTGTGGCGTAACAGCAAACAGATTTCTGATACTCCGGAGGGCCGCGTGGACATTCGTGAGTGACCGGTAACGCCTCTGGTCAGCCCGGGTGTGGCTGGAGACAACGGAACTTCACCCGGCCAGTCCTGGAGGTGTGCTGGGCCGTAGCCCCTTCCCCGCCCCTCCGCGTGCTCGCGCGGCTGTGTGGCCTGGTCTGAGCTGTCTCGCTGGCTGCCGGAACGTTCAGGGACACAGACCCATGCGTCACGCTGTGTTTCCCAGGCGGCTTTGGAGCGTCCTCATTTCTCAAGTGACTGCTCTTCAGAGAGGACGATACCAACCAGGAGAAATACGGCAAAGGGAAGGCCCAGGCGATGGCCAGTCCCTGGTCTGTAACTACCATTCGAGTTGAGATACTTTTCTCAAAATTAGCCTGGCGAGGTCATCACCTTTTGATAAATGCTTGGAGCTGTTCTTTGGCAGATAAAATAAACATGGTCTTTAATATCCTTTTGGAAGGGGGGGAGGGTCGAAGGACATCCCTGCTTCCTGAATGTGTTCACATGAATTTTTTTTTTTTTTTTAATCCTCATCCGAGGACATTTTTCCATTTTTTGTACAGAGTGGGAGGGAGAGAGAGGAAGAGAGAGAGAGGGAAACATCGACGTGAAAGGGACACATCGAGTGGCTGCCACCCGCACGACCGACCAGGGCCGGGGACAAACTGCAACCGAGGTACGTGCCCTTAGCGGGAACCGAACCCGGGTCTCTCTGGACCGCAGGCGGACGCTCTAACCGCTGAGCCAAACCGGCCAGGGCTGTTCACATGAATTTTTAAGCCAATGTGCTGTCCGGGGAGAAGGCAGTATCTACTGGTGACTAAAAGACCTGACTCCAGAATCCAGTCGCCGGGATTCAGCCTCAGCTCTGCCGTTGGCTGCTTGCGACTCTGGGCACAACGCTGAAGGCCCCGAGGTTCCGCTTCCGCGTGTGTGAAAAGGGGGGCGGTAAGGGTGTCCCCTTTCTGGGATCTCTCATCTGTGAGAATGCACATGAGAGCTTAAATGGCCATAATAATATGACCCTGAAAGGCAGGTCATCAATCCGAGTATTTATGCAATAAACACTGTGGCAAAAGGGAGGGGCCATCAATCACTTACGGTCATTGACCATGCACTTGGCACTGAGTGGGTTCCAAGGGAGAAGAAGCAGAGGTCCCTGCTTCGAGTGAAATCGTGTGAGTGTGTGTGTGTGTGTGTGTGTGTTGTGTGCACGTGTGTGCCTGTTGGTAAGAACTCAGAGGCGGCCCTGGCCGGTATGGCGCAGTGGTCAGAGCACCAGCCTGAGGACCGAAGGGTCTCGGGTTTGATTCGGGTCAAGGGCACGTACCTGGGTCTCGGGTTTGATCCTCAGCCCTGGCCAGGGTCGTGCAGGAGACAACCAATTGATGTGTCTCCCTCACATCGATGTCTCTCTCTCTCTCTCTCTCCCCCTCCCTCCCTTCCATGCTCTCTGAAAATCAGTGATAAAATATCCTCAGGTGAGGATAAGAAAAGGTCAGAGGCAAGTGAGCTTCTTCTCAGCCTTAGGTGCTGGGCTCGCAGGGGGCTGGGCTCGGGCAGGAGGGCGGGGCGTGGGGGCGGGGCAGGGCACAGAGAAGGCCGGCCCCAGTGGGGAGCTGGGATTGGGCAGGAGGGCGAGGCGTGGGGGCGGGGCAGGGCGCAGAGATGGTCAGCAGAGATGGTCAGCCCCAGCGGGGAGCCTGGCCGGGGCTGGGATTGGGCAGGAGGGCGAGGCGTGGGGGCAGGGCAGGGCGCAGAGTCGGCCGACCCCAGCCGGGAAGCGTGGCTAGCCCCAGCGGGGGAGCGTGGCCGGGGCTGGGATTGGGCAGGAGGGCGAGGCGTGGGGGCAGGGCAGGGCGCAGAGTAGGCCGACCCCAGCCGGGAAGCGTGGCTAGCCCCAGCGGGGGAGCGTGGCCGGGGCTGGGATTGGGCAGGAGGGCGGGGCGTGGGGGCGGGGCAGGGCGCAGAGACCCCGGCCCCAGCGGGGAGCGTGGCCAGCCCTGCAGGCAGCGCTCACAGGTGCGTCGCAGGTCGGGTCAGGTCAGGTTGTGAAAGGCTCTCAGTTTCTCGCGAGGAAGGTCCGACTGGGTTGCGCAAGCCCGGGGAGCCACTGAAGACCCCTGAGCAAAGGCATTCCATGACCAGACTGGCTTTTAGTCCAGACAAACCTGCACGCGTGAGCTCTGTGAGCCACGGGTGACACTGGCCACTGCAGTGCCACGTGATGGGTCCACTGAACGTAACCTCTGAACCGTTTCACAGGACGTGGTGATCACAGGGTTCGGCAGCGAGCTCACCGTGGGCACGCGGACCCGCCCGCACTGTGAGCCGCGGCCTGTGTCACGTGGCTCCTCGCCCACTGTCACCATTGGATGCGGACGAGGCATCTGCTTCCCCACCTATAGAAAGCCTGGCTCCTGGACCTCCCCACCAACGTGCCTTCCCGGTAACAGTCACCACAGCTCGGTGCTGCGGGCCAGACCGAGCCATCCTTCCTCCCGTCCCCACGGCGAACGTGTTCCCCGCCCCTCTGGAAACGCCCAGAACGGAGGTTGCCCAAGAGCATGGACACTTCCCGGTTAGATGAGACAGTGGCGCGGTGAGGTCAACATGCCTTTTTATAACTTTGTCAAAATGGGAACTTGGACGATTGCTTCCGATTTTGTTCACAAGAAGTTCTTAGGAGAGCGGCCAGCGGGGCTGAGGTCTGCGTTGGTGTCAAAGCCTCGCTCCATCGCTGGCTGCTTAGGGGACCTGGATGCTTAGCCATCTCTGGACGGACCAGGCCACCACCATCTCTTCCCACGATGACCTGATGCCTCCCAGCGTCACTCTCTGTGCTCCCACCAGTGATCAATCCGGTGGCCACCATGAGCCTCTGAAAGGTGGCATTTCATGGCACTCCTCGGCTCGAGAGCGTTCCGTGGCTTCCGGCCCACCCAGAGCGAAAGCAGACCTCGGTAGGGCCCTCGAGGCCCACACCTCGCAGCACGGTCTCCCGCCTCTCAGCCTGCCCCTCTCAGTCTGGGAGCCACTGCAGTGCCCCCGAGAAACCCACGGGGCTCCTGCCCGCACCTTCA